ATCCTTGAAGCGTCTGCTCCCAAATTAAAGATTGTCTTATTAGCACACGTATCTCTACATCAAAGGACAAAGAAGAGAGAATAGCTGTAGTTTCATACCAAGTGGATCGAATGGTGAGACGCACTTTGAGTAATTTGCCCAAGAACGCGATGAAATCCGCCCATTCGTGTACATTATCGAACGTAGCTAGACACTTTTCGACCGCTTGCGTATATTTTTTGAACTTGGGATCAGCAGCGATAGCAGTACTCGGTGCTATAGGTCATATGCGAAGGTCACCGACGGACAACATTTGACGCGTAGAGATATCAGCTTCAATTCAAGTGTAGCAAAGGGGATAGGTTTATTGACTCATTCGTTGCGAAATCCATGCTGTATTTCCTCCCAGTGCATCGCGTCCCGCCATCTCTCAATCGCGTAACTTTAGGGTCGGTGGCGGCGAGATCTAAAAGTGCGCTTTGCTTCTTCTCCGCCACTCGACACGAACGCGCACGTCACTCGCGCGAATACCATAGATCAAAATGTCACAAACATTACCCGATGAAACGCTACGAAAGGCAAGTCGACTCGAAACCGATATTTTCATTTTTGCGCTAACGATCATCCCCCATCTACCTCTCTATTCCCATTCGACGTGTATAACACGCAAACGTACAACGTATGCTATAGATTTTGCACCAAATACAACAAAGTGCGGTTACGGCAAACCGAAATCTCAACCTGACAAAGGCGCAGATCGCGTCTAAAGAGCGTGAGCGACGGATCCTGCAACTCACCATCAAAGAAGTTTCGTCCTTGGAATCAGACGTGAACGTATACCGTGGTGTGGGCAAGATGTGAGTCCCCATCGCCGAGGCGTTTTATGGTGCCTTTCGCGTGTATTTATCCAAAAATTATTGATGCGGGGTTCGGGCGTAGGTTTTTGCATATACCGAAACCTGAGATGGAAAAGGATTTGAAGAAGCAGGAAAAAGACCTTTCAGATGACCTAGACAGTCTGGCAAAGAAGGTGAGTAACGTCCTCCTTTGTCTCTGGACAAATTGTGTGCGCTGACAGATGGAACGCGACTTACAGAGCAAGTATTTGGAAAAGGAGTTTAATGAGGCGCAGGGACAGCTACGTGATATTGTGAGTATCTCGTCTCCACCATTGCCATCCGGCTCCTGGCCATCCTCTCGCGAATGCCAATATGACTGATATCAACAAACTATGTGTCACTCGTTTCCAGTTCCAAGGCTCCACACGTCGCTAGTCGAGGAGCTGCCTAGTTACATAGGTCATCACAATCCTCTCTCTCACACACACTACTCTGTCGAGTCGTATGAAATGAAATGAGAAGCCAAGTCAAACTCAAGATGTCCTGCTCTTCAATAATGAAAATATGATGACGACCCCGCTAGTCGAATTGAGTATCGCCTAAGTACAATACAGCACACGATCAACAAACGGTCAAAGGGATGGAGGATGGAACGGGATTCCGCGATCCGTATTGGTGGCAAAGCTGCGGCGCTTGACCCAATTACAAGGCGCATATTGGAAATGTTGGCTAGCGCACCCAAGCGATCGTTTAGCATGTACCCACAGAGAAGAACTCGACAAACGCCGCAGTTTTCCAAAGGACCTATGGACAAGATGAGTGTGCGCGTGATGATAGGAGGAAGTCATACACCCTTAAGCGAACAAGAAACTCCAATACTGGTCCGTACCTGGATCGGCTGGTCGCCGGCAAATCGCAAACAGACCTTTAGGATCGCTGGTGTGTACAGCGATTGTCAGCGATAACAAGCTAGTAATCCCAAGATTTATTTGCCCGGGCGAATCAGAGGACTGACCAGGATCTGACTTTCGATTTGTCGGATTCTCTGGTGCCTCGAGCCAGTGAGTTGGTCTCTTGACAACTTTGACAGCGAATCGACGCACGCGACCCGAATAATAGATCAGAGCATGAGGTTGATAGGCGAGAGAGGGAGGCAAAGTCCGAATAACGAGTTTGGCTTTATTGCCTATACGCTGTGGGGTGTTATCAAAGATATCGAAGATACGGCATATGGAGGTCACTGCGATTTCATTTAGCCCTCCCAATCGTCCTCGGTGCTGCGCTCGGAGATCATCCGAAGCATAGGGTCAAGACGATATGTCGTTGAGCTTGTTACTCCCTGTAGTATTTTACCCAAAAATTTAATACGCTATCAGAGAGTCGGAGGTGATTTATTGAAGGATTTAAAAGGCAAATCGATTCGATTTGGTTGGGAGAGGGAATAGCCGGACGGTCGGGACAAGTGCCACCCTTCGTTATCTCAACACAGTCGACTGATAAGGCCCTCACCGTCCCTTTGATAGAGAGCTATATCGACTATAAAAGGACCGCATCTTCTCTTTCCTCCTCTCCTCGAGCTCCCTCCTCTGCTGCTGTTTCAGTACTGCTGCTAGAAGCTAGCTGCCAGTGTCATTTGTTGGGCTAGAGTCTTCTTTTGCCAACCGACGGGCCATCAAAGTTTGGAGCAACCTTAGAGGACAACACCATCCACCATACTCCTCTCCAACGAATAAGGTCAGAAAAATCCATCGAGCATCGCCAAGATGGTGCATTGGGCAGAGAATATCAACAAGAAGGTCGCCGAGTCGGTCGTCGGTCGCCATTTCCATCTCGAGGGTTCAGGCGTCAAGAGTGAACGAAAAGGTTCCAAGTTCCTCACCGAGATTCGTGCAGGCATCACGACCTTCTCCGCCATGGTCTACATTATCAGGTATGTCGCGCTTCCCTCTCTGCTCGTTCGACCCTTCGCGTCCATGTTGCTAATCCCCCGTATCGAACAGTGTAAACGCCATTATCATCTCTCAAACTGGTGGAGACTGCGTCTGCGCGAGCACCCCAGACGATCCTATCTGCCTCAGTCAGTATTTTACAGAAATGTCACGCCATTTTTTAGTGGCCACACCCGACTCGATCATTCCGCGCCCATGTTTCGACCAATCCGGTGTCGATATTCACAACATACGCTAACATGCATTTTTTACACTCTAAACATATAAATAGATAATACGGAATATCTTCTCTGCAAGGATGAGGTTAGGCGTGATCTGATTACCGCTACCGCGGGAATAGCCGCCCTCGCATCCTTCTTGATGGTAAGCACGGTGTCTTTAGCATCTCCATTTTATTTTTAATGATCCAACTACAGGGTTTGTTCGCCAACTTGCCCGTGGCCCTTGCGCCGGTAGGTTTCTTCGACAATAGAGATCCGAATGTGTTGTTTACGTGATCTTAGGGTATGGGTCTCAATGCCTACTTTGCTTTTTCGGTCGTCGGATTCCATGGTACTGGAACGATCCCTTTCCGCAAAGCTTTGGCTGCAGTCTTTTTGGAAGGGTTAGTGTCCATTCTCCTTTTAAAACTAAAACGCCTCACTCATGTATTATTTTAGATGGATTTTCATGATCCTCTCCATCCTCGGAATCCGACAATGGCTCGCTAGGACTATCCCTCGCTCCCTCACCCTTGCCACTGGTGCGGGTATCGGTTTGTTCATTGCCTTTATCGGTCTCCAACCTGCTGGTGGTATTGGTGTTATTGGTGGAGACTACTCCAATTTGGTCGGCTTGGGAGGTTGCAAGGATGAATGTGAGCCATTCTCTTCTAAGTGCCATCTATCCTTCTAATCTATCAACACAGACACTGATCCCGATCATCCTTACTACTGCTTATCTCACGTCCTCCAACGTCCCACAATTTGGGTCGGCATTTTCCTGGGTGGATTCGTGACCGTGTTGATGATGATGTACCGCATCCGTGGTGCGATCCTCTTTGGTATCCTCCTCGTCAGCATCATCTCCTGGCCGCGCCCAACTGCCATCACCTACTTCCCTCACACTCCCG